ATGTAAGCGCCGCTACTGGGGCCTTCGGTGGAGCTCCCTATGGGGCCACGAAGCGCGTGAGGGGTGTACTGGGATGTGTGGCGGGGACGCATGTGAGCGCCGCCACTGGGGCCTTCGGTGCAGCTCTCTATGGGGCCACGAAACGTGTGAGGGGTGTGCCGAATTGGGTGCGGGTGGTGACGCATGCGGGCGGTGCCACTGGGGCCTTCGGTGGAGCTCCCTATGGGGCCACGAAACCTGTTGTTGTGAGGGGCGTGCCGGGATGGGTGGCGGGGACGCATGTGAGCGCGGCCGCTGGGGCCTTCGGTGGAGCTCCCTATGGGGCCACGAAACGTGTGAGGGGTGTGCCGAATTGGGTGGGTGTGGGTGACGCATGTGAGCGCCGCCACTGGGGCCTCCGGTGGATGATGGGGCCACGAAACCTGTGAGGGATGTGCCGAAATGGGTGTGCGGGACGCATGCGCATGTGAGCGCCGCCACTGGGGCCTTCGGTGGAGCTCCCTATGGGGCCACGAAACGTGTGAGGGGTGTGCCGAATTGGGTGTGCGGGACGCATGCGGGCGGCAGCACTGGGGCCTTCGGTGGGGCTCCCTATGGGGCCACGAAACGTGTGAGGGGTGTGCCGAATTGGGTGTGCGGGACGCATGCGGGCGGCAGCACTGGGGCCTTCGGTGGGGCTCCCTATGGGGCCACGAAACGTGTGAGGGGTGTGCCGAATTGGGTGTGCGGGACGCATGCGGGCGGCAGCACTGGGGCCTTCGGTGGGGCTCCCTATGGGGCCGTGCCGAAACGTGCGGGGGGCAGCAGGGGTGTCGACGAAATGGGTGTGCGGGACGCATGCGGGCGGCAGCAGGGCCTTCGGTGGGGCTCCTGGGCCACGAAACGTGTGGGTGCGAATTGGGTGTGCGGGACGCATGCGGGCGGAGCGGTGGGCTCCCTATGGGGCCACGAAACGTGTGAGGGGTGTGCCGAATTGGGTGTGCGGGACGCATGCGGGCGGCAGCACTGGGGCCTTCGGTGGGGCTCCCTATGGGGCCACGAAACGTGTGAGGGGTGTGCCGAATTGGGTGTGCGGGACGCATGCGGGCGGCAGCACTGGGGCCTTCGGTTGGGCTCCCTATGGGGCCACGAAACGTGTGAGGGGTGTGCCGAATTGGGTGTGCGGGACGCATGCGGGCGGCAGCACTGGGGCCTTCGGTGGGGCTCCCTATGGGGCCACGAAACGTGTGAGGGGTGTGCCGAATTGGGTGTGCGGGACGCATGCGGGCGGCAACACTGGGGCCTTCGGCGGAGTTCCTTCTGGGGCCACGAAACGTGTGAGGGGTGTGCCAAAATGGATGATGATGACGATGATGATGGTGTGAGGAGGGAGGAGGGAGGAGGGGGAGGAGGAGCCGGAGCGGGAGCGGGCGCTGTCTCTTCAAAACGAGGACCCAACACCACAGGATGGTTGGGAAGAACTACCCCCCAAATACCCCCAAAAGGTCAAACCATATGCAACAAGTAGTCCCCAGACTATGTTTGGAGCATTTTTTTATATTATTTTGGGGGTATTTTTTATTTTTCGCCGAAAATCTCCCTGCATGGGGGACAGGCCCGACTTTACCCGAGCCCGAGGCGTGCTGTGAGGTCCTGGGGCCCCTGCCACGGCCCGCAGAGGCCGACAAACTGGCAGAGAGGCCTCCCGCCGTGCTTCCCTCGAGACGCGAGGAGGAGGGCTGGGGAGGGAAGTGGAGAGGAGCGAGGGACGGCGAGAGCCGAGAGGCACAGCTTCCGCAGCGAGCCATGGTCTCGAGGCGCCGAGCGGCCTGGGGCCCCGCCGTGCCCGCGACGTCGCCCCGATCCTCGCGCCTGCGCCCTCCTGGGAGGAGGAGGAGGAGGAGGAGGAGGAGGAGGAGGAGGAGGAGGAGGAGGAGGAGGAGGAGGAGGAGGAGGAGGACCCCGCCGCAGCCGACATCTCGCAAGGACCAGCGATGCGAGGCACACGCTGGCCCTCCATGGGCACGCCAAGGGCCCCGCATGAGGCGGCGGGGCGGGCCGGAGGTCGACCACCCCGACCCGCACGGCGCGCACGTCGACGTCCAGAGCTTAGATTTAAGTCGGGCGTGTCCCTTTACAAGAGGAGTAGCCGAAAATAGTCAAAACATCGTCAGGGGACGATTCTTTCGTGTTAACAGAATATTTGGAATATTTTCCAATACTTCTAGTCTATTTCTATATTTTTCCTGCAAGATCCGCCTGTAGAGGGGACATACCCGACCTGAACTTAGATGATGTCTGGATCGCTGGGGGCGTTTTTCCAGTTCTCGAGTTTTTTTCCTGTTTGTTTGGGGGGTGGTCCGTGCTTTCTTGGGACACTCGTCCGTGCCGCTTTTTCGGGTCGCTCCCGCTCTGCATACTTCCGTTCTTCCGTTCTGGCTCCGGTTCTCGCGCCGATCGGTAGGCGAGGCGGTCGCGCGCACGGGCGCGGAGGTAGCCGAGAGCGTGCGGAGATCTTCGCTTTCCTTCCTCCCCTGCCTCCCCATTTCCTCCGCCCTCCCGCCTCCCCTCCCAATCTTCTTGCCCGGGAGCAGGGCTGGGCCCCTTCCTCTGCTCTCCGGGGACCTTCCTGTGGGTGCCAGATCCGCCGCGCCCTGGCGGCCGAGCGCGCCGGGACACCCACCGCGGGGCAGCCACGCACCCAGCGGCCAGTCCGCACCGCCCGAGGCCCCGAGCCCCGCGGCCGACCCGGACCTCGAGGGCGGCGGCCCGTGCGCCGCCCGCGCGCCGCCGCGCCCGGCGGGCGTCGGCGGCCCGCGGTGGCCGCTGGCGGGCCGCGGCCCGCTCGGCGCCCTCGCGGCCGCGGCGGCGCTGCTCTGCCTCTGCTAGGGGGCCACATGCGAACCCTACCCCCCCCCACGATTTCTGGGGGGAGGGTGGGGTTCACTTCGCTCGGGAGGTCCCGAACGAAGTGAACCCCACCCTGCCCCTCAGAAATCGTGGGGGGTAGAGGTAGGGTTCGCATGTGGCCCCCTATCTGCGCCGCCGCGGGCCGGAGGAGCCTGCCGGCCGCCGGCGGGCCGCGGGCAGGCGGCGCCGGCGCCGAGCGCTCTTCGGGCGCCGCGCGGGCGGAGCTGGCTGGAGGTCGGGGGTGGCTCCCAGACAGGATCGCGTCGTGAAACAAGGATCAGAGCGGCCAGGTGTTCGCTCTTTTCGGCCCCTGGGTGCCCTCGCCGGGCCCCGGGGCCGTCAAAAAGCGACGCAGGATGAAATACCGGCCCTGGGGAAACGTTCGGGACTTCTGGGGACGCCGTCCTGAAAAAATCAGGACGTCGCATGCCTGGGCTGACGTCATCTCATATCTATAGGCCTCCCAGATGGGGTCCGAGTAGATGGGGTCGGGGGGTCGCGCCGCAGCGCGGACGCATCGCCGATGTATCGGCGATGCGGCTCGATGTGGAGCCCGACTTTCTCCACGCCGGCGGCGCCGACGCATCACCAGCGTCGCCGTCGCATCGCCGATGCATCGTCAATACATCGCTGATGCATCGGCGATGCGGTGCAATCCTCCGACCCCATCTGCTCGGACCCCATCTAGGAGGTCTCTATCATAGCACTGCTTCTGGCCAGCAGGATCTGGGGGACGAGGTGCGAGGTGCTGGCTTCGAGAGCAGGCTTTGGGCCTTCTTCGGCTTCTGGGGGGGCCGTTCCCGGGCCCGGGGTCAAAACCGGATCCGGGGTGACAAACTGTATCACATGGACCCCGGGAGGGGTTTGGAGACCGATTCTGAACGGACTTGCATTTACCCTTCAGGCGGGCAGGTCCCTCTACAGGAGGAATATCCAAAAATAAAAAAAATGCCTGGCGACGATTATTTGTTCATTTTTATCATTTATTTCCTCTATTGTTTGACCTCTTTTTTTCTTTGTCCAGAATCCGCCTGTAGGAGGATACGCCTGACCTAACTTTACCCCTGTCTTGACCCACTGTTTGGGTGATGGGCTTGTCTTGCCACCACCATAAGTTGGAGGGGGGAAGGAGGTGGAGGATGAGGAGGATGAGCAGGAGGAGGAGGAGGAGGAGGAGGAGCAGGAGGAGCAGGAGGTGGTGGAGGAGGAGGAGGAGGGAGGAGGAGGAGGAGGAGAGGAGGAGGAGGAGGAGGAGGAGGTAGAGGAGGAGGTGGAGGAGGAGGAGGAGGTGGAGGTGGGAGGAGGAGGAGGGAGGAGGAGGAGGAAGGAGAGGAGGAGGAGGAGGGCCCCCTCCCCCTCCAACTTATGGTGGTGGTGGTGGTGGAAAACAGGCCCATCATTGGGGGCCCACCCAGCTCAGACCACCGGCCGACTCCCGCCGCGCGGCGCCGCGGAGCCCGCGGCGGAGCCCGCGGCGGAGGCCGCGCGCGAGGGGCCCCGAGCGCGCGCGGCGCCGGGCGGCCCCGCGCGCGCGGGGCCGGGGGCGGCGGTGCCGAACCAGATTTGAGTCGGGCGCGTCCCTCTGCAGGAGGAGTATCGACTAGACTTAAAGTCGGGCCTGCCCCCCTGCAGGGGGATTTTCGACGGAAAATAGAACATACCCCCAAAATAGCCAAAACATAATCAACAAAATAGTATGGGGACTATTTTTTGAGTATGTTTTGGCCTTTTTGGTGTATTTTTGGGGTATTAAATTTTTTTCGTCGAAAATCCCCCTGTAGGGGGACACGCCGACTTAAGACTAGACGTAAGAGTGACCTTTCGCCGGAGTGACCTTTTGGTGCGGGCCCAATGGGTTCCCCCCCGTCGCCAAGCGTGATGCGATGGTAGCGTCTTGCGCGACAGTTTGGCCCCTCCGCGGTCCCCCAAGAAGCCGCGCACCAAAGGTCACTCTTACCCAGGGTCTGTCTTGCGTGTAGTCGAAGGAAAGTCAAAATAGTCAAATTAAAAGTATGGGATCGATTTTCTGAGCATGTTTCGACTATTTTCGAACATTTCCTGATCATTTTTTTGTTCCTTATGTTTCGTCGACACTCCCCCTGGAGGAGGACATGCTCGACTTGAAACCAGATCCCGCCCATCTCGACGCCAGACTCGGGCGGGTTGCCAGAGGGTGTTGCGCTAGACCAAGGTGGCAGGCGGTGTTCCCCGGCCCCGCAGCTCAGAGGAGGGAGACGACGACGAACGACGACGACGACGACGAGGACGAGGACCACTAGGACGACGACGACGAGGAGGAGGACGACGACGACGATGACGACGACGACGAGCTCTCGTCGCCACGGCTGGATTCTCCTCGAAATTCTGGTCAGAACGCACCCCGGGATGTCTGGGGAGTATAGCGGTATTGGTACCTGTTAGTCCACCCAGCATCGGCCGAGTTCTCCCCTTCCAAAGGATCGGGCCGTCTGCAAAAGACGGGGGGGGGACTCGGAGGATACACTTTTTTGGTGGCGGCGCTGACGAGCGCACGGCGCACGGCGCGGTCGGATCTTGAGCCAGACGTGCGGTGGCGAATTGGCACACGAAGAACAATTAGTCCCGTTTGGAAAGGGGGTTGGGGTTTTGGGAGTAAGCACACACAACACACAACACACGCAACACATACACAACACGCGCACACACGCAACACACAATACACACAACACATATCATCACCCACCACACACATATACACACACGCGCATACACACATATACACATACACATATCTAACCACATATATTTATACACATACATATTTACATATATACATATATATACACATGTGTACATATATATAAGCATAATCGCGTACTCACACAACCGTGCACACATATTCGCATACACACATACACATACACAAATCCACACCTGCACACGCACACATACACATACGTACAACGTGTATATATACAGATATATACACATATGCACATTTACACCAACACATACGCACATACACATACACATACACACATACACACATACACAGACACATACGCACCAATCACACACCACACACACAAACACACTACACCACACACACCACACACACCACACACACACACCACACACAGCACAAACGCTCACACACACAACACATAACACAACACACACGCACTCTACACACAGCACACAACACATCACACACAACAGACACACACACACACGACACACAACATACACAACACATAACACACAACACACACACAAGTATGCACTCACACACACACACACGCACGCACGCACGCACGTACGCATAAACGCACACACACACACCCAGGGGGCTACTCGGACGCACCCCAATCGAGGATGGACGCTCCCTCCACCGCGGATCGTACATCCCCGAGGTGCCCCCAGGAGTTTCCACAGGGGCCTGGGTTCGGAGGAGACGATTCGGTGCAACCATTAGCTTTCGGAGATCCGCGCGGCTTTCTCGTGCGACTTCTCGGACCTGTGCTGGGCCCTTCCAGGGGACGCCTCCAGCACTGGCGGCGCCTTCGGTGCCGCCCCTTTGACGCGCTCCGCGCTCCAGGGAGGGGGCCCAGCGCCGATTTAAGGAATCCGCGCGGACCTTCGAATCTGTTTTCGCAGATTCTTCTTCTTCTTCTTCTTCTTCTTCTTCTTCTTTTGTAGAGGGCCCCAGGGCACCCTGTCGCGAGGCCCAGAGGGCCGCAGGGGCTCCACCGTGGTGCGAAAGGCTGGGGACACCTCTGGACCACGGACACCTCACTGGCAACTCCCGGGCAGACGGCGACACGCCGATCCTCCTGGAGATCTCCGCCTTCCTGGACGGCGTGCGCTGCGCCTGGACGCTGCGCAGGGCGCTGGAGAGGGCATCCTTCCCTGACCGCGTGTCCTTCACCGTACTCCAGGCTCGGGGGCCCCCGAGGAGGAGGCGGAGGAGGAGGAGGAGGAGGAGGAGGAGGAGGAGGAGGAGGAAGATACGGTGCGGTGACCACACCGCGTGGTGCGCCCGTGGGGCCTCGGGGACACCGCACGGTTCTGGGACTCTGGGGCCCGAGGGCGCCTCGGCCCGCTGGGGCCTCCTGGGCCCCCAAAACCCGCAGGGTGGCGGACGCCAGCGAGAAGCGTCTCGGTAGGAATTGGCCTTTTCCAGGCCTCCCAGATGGGGTCCGAGTAGATGGGGTCGGAGGATCGCGCCGCATCGCCGATGCATCGCCGATGTGGCTCGATGCGGGGCCCGTTTTTCTCCACGCCGACGTCGCCGATGCATCGCCGACGTTGCCAGTGCATGGCCGCTGCACCGCCGATGCATCGGCGACGTATCGCCGACGTATCGGCGATGCGGCACGATCCTCCGACCCCGTCTACTCGGACCCCATCTAAGAGGTCCCTACCTTTCCAGTCAGCGAGAAGCGTCTCGATGGGAATCGGCTCGGTGCTTCTCCTCTCGCCAGGGGCTCCGGACAAACACAACACCGCAGGGCGGCGGACCGTGCGGTGAGGCCTTTTTGGATTTCGGGGCCACCACACGGTGTGTCACCCCCACCCTTCTGGGACCCCCAGCAGGCCCGGCTCCCTCAGCACGAGGACTGCGTGGGCATCTTCCGCTCCCGGCACCTGCCCGAGCTCTGCGCCGCGGGCGGGCTGGGCGCCCCGTTCGCCGGGGGGCCCGCGGAGGAGTGCCAGCAGAGGGTGCTGCGGCGGTCGCGCGCGTGGCTGCTCGACCCGAGGGCCGCACAGGGGCCCGTGCACACGCGCGGGGTTGCCGCGAGGCTGCTGGAGCCCCAGGACCTGAGCGCCATGTGCCTGAGCACCGACGCCCACATGGACTTCAATAGGGGCTGGGACGTCAGCCTGATCGAGGACTGGCTGTCCGCTGGGAACGAGTTCGCGGTTTTGACCGTCTATCCCGAGTCCGTCGATCGGATCGACAAGCCCGTCGGTAGTAGGATCGTTTCTAGTTGTGGGTACACGCTGGAGGAAGGCATACCCCGCGGCAGGCAAGCCCAGGACTATGCGCGGAGCGATGTGAGGATGCCGCTGCTCACGCCTAACTGGGCAGCTGGCTTTTCGTTCCACCGTTGCCACGCCGAGAAGCTGGTGCCAGTGGATTGGCGTTTGCGCTGGATTTTCACAGGCGAAGAGGTCAACCGTGCGGTTCGCCTGTGGACCCACGGTTACGACCTGTACGCGCCTGCGAGCGTGGCCGTGCTTCACAACTACACCAACGCCAAGCAGGAGTTCCAGCAGTTCGGGGATCGCCACCGACAGATCCTGCAGAAGCGGAGGTCCCAGAGGCAGGTCAGGCGGCTCCTGGAGACCCTGACCGCAGACGACTTAGCCGCGGGCGAGGCCGAGGAGCAGGAGGGCCTCGGTCGTTTCGGCCTGGGGGCCCAGAGGAGCCTCGAGGAGTTCGTGATGTGGTCGCGGGCGAACCTCGGCGGCAAGTGGGCGCGCGCGCTCATGGACCCCTGGGGCCGGGTGCAGGACTCGGGCACTGCGAGACCGCCCTCCCAGACAGGTCGTCGGATGACCCTCCCAGACGAGTCGACAGGAAGCCTGCTGGCGTCACGCGACAATGGCACTCGGGTGTGCCGGTGCAGATCCGCCGTCGGTTTCGCTAATCGATGCGCGTTTCGCCGGACGAGGAGGAGGAGGAGGAGGAGGGGGAGGAGGAGGAGGAGGAGGAGGAGGAGGAGGAGGAGGAGGAGGTTGGACGTCCGTTCGCTAACACCCGCTGGGATCCACTCGGACTGCGGTGCCTCGCGCGCGTGGGGTGTCTTGGACAACTTTTTCACCACGGGGCGTCTTGCGGGAGGGCGTTCCGTCCATTCCACCCCCGAAGGACATCGGCGTCACCCCAACACACTAGGGCGATGTTGTGTGCGTCGCCCCCCCAGAGGCGACGCGCGCACCTAGAATCTTATAGCATATGCGTCGTGGCGGGCGCATTCTGGCCGCACCGCTCGGGAATCGATATTATATATACATATATCTATATATAATCTACATATGTGCACTACAAGATGTGTGTGTGTATATCTATATTTGTATGTATATATAAATATGTTCGGGCCTGCCGCGCACCTCTAGGGAACGCGTGTAGTACTAATATGTCTCTGTGCGTCCCAGGACACGCGCATAGAGGACTGCCTGTGGCTGCAGCGGCGCCCCATCCGGGACCCGGGGGCGCTGCTGCAGAGCCTGCGCTCCCCGAGCGGTGCGGAGCGGGCTGTCGCCGAGGTGGGCGAGGAGGTGTTGCTCGCGGGGGAGGAGGACGTGGTCCGCCCGAAGCGGGTGCTGTGACTGCCACGGCCGCTGCCGCGCCGCGGCCGCAGCCGAGCGCCGCCCATCCGGATTTTCCTGCTCGCGCTGCCCTCCCCGGCACCAAAAGCAGGGCGACGTGGCGCAGCGCGTCGCGATGCAGGGCAGCGCCATGATGGGCAGTGCAGATGCAGCGCTGTGTGTGTGTGTGTGAGTGTGTGTGTGTGTGTGTGTCGCCGCGCAGCGCAGTGCGGTGCAGCCCGGTGCACTGCACATCACTGCAGGGCAGAGATGGGCCAGGCAGTGCAATGCTGAAGAGTCCCACGCAACGCAGTGCTGTGCAAGCCAAGGCCGTGTGAGTGAACTGTGCTACGATGCAATGCAACGATGTTTGGTTTTAAGCAATGCAATGCGTTGCAAGTGCAGTTCAAAGCAAATTTAATTGCAAGCACAATGGCACAGGATGTACAACGCAGTGTAAAACAGCCCACAACAATCAACGCGAAGATGACAGTGGTGGTCTGCAGTCTACGGAGATAGCCTACGCCCTGACGACCCGTAGCCCACACAGCACAACTTGGAATGCACTTGTACAGTTATATATACATATTATGTTAGCCAGCGTAGACCCCAAACAGTGTGTTTCTAGTAATCGGTGTCGTGCAATCGATGTTGTGCAATCTAGGTTGTGTAATATATGATCTTCAATCTAGGTGGTTCAACATATGTTGTCTAAGCTATGTTGTGCACGCTATGTGGTGCATTTCATGTGGTGCATTTCATGTGGTGCAATCTATGCGTGTCAATATCTGTTGTGCAAGCTATGTGGTGCTTTCTACATGGTGCAAGTTATGTGGTGCAATATATGTTGTGCAATCCACTCTGCTAAACTTGAAGTCGTCATCGCCACTGCTCGCGCAAACATCCCACCCACCCACCCGCAACTTGGTTTGCAAAACCTCTTAAGACCGACTACGGCGACACCGACGACAACGACTAGGACGACACCGACGACGTCTCCGACGACGTCTCCGACGACTTCGACGACGACAACGACGCCGACGCCGACGACGACGAAGACGACGACGACGACGCCAACGAAGGCGACGACGAGGGAGGAGGAAGGACGACGACGGCGACAACGACGACAACGACGACAACGACGAGGGAGGAGGGAGGACGGCGACGACGCGAACGACGACGAAGGAGGAAGGACGGCGACGCCGACGACGACAACGACGAGGGAGGAGGGAAGATGACGACGACAACGACGACGACGACGGCGACGAAATAGGAGGGACGACGACGAGACGCCGACGACGGACGACGACGACGTGGGACGAGGAGGAAGGACGACCACGGCGACAACGACGACGGAAACGACCACGACGCCAAAGAGGACGGCGACGACGAACACGAGAAAAGACAGAGGACGACGTAGGCGACGACGACGACGACGCGGGAGGAGGGAGGACGGCGACGACGACGATGACGATGACGACGCAAGAGCGCGCGCGCACGCTTTTGTTGAAAATCCGTGTTGCGAAACCTTGGGTTTTTGTATGTTTTTTGGACGCACGATTTTAAAATCCTTCCGAAACCGATGGGTTTTGAACGTTTACGTTTTCGGCATACGCCCGCGACGACGCGCGCGTCTGCACTTCGTTAATTTTTTGCAGAGGGTTCTCGCGACGGCACACGCGCAAGGGCGTTCGACAGATTTCGACATGCGCGCGCGCGAAGCCCGTTTGGTAGCATTTTGTGAAAATCCTGAAAAAACCTATAGTTTTCTTAAGATTTCGCAAGAGCTCGTGCGGAAGCTTTTTCAGAAACTCAGTGTTGCGAAACCATGTGTTTTTGTTTGTTTTTTGGAAACTCGATTGCGAAATCCTTCCGGCACCGAAGGTTTTTGAAGGATTTCGGCATGCGCGCGCGACGACGCGCGCGTGTGCACTTCGTCTCGTTGTTTGCAAGGGATTCGTGAAAAAGTGTTATGTTAGAACAAAAAGTGTCACCGCATAGTGTTTTTCCACAAAGGAACCTCAGGGGGCGGAACCGGGCCTTCCTGGGATGGTATGATTTTATGTTTAGGATGGACGAGTGTGCAGAAAATATATGAAATCGTATTATCCCAGGGTGATGCGATAAGTCCGGGGGGGGGTAGAGTCTATTCTATTTTTAGAATGGAGAATTGATTTTTACACATGATTTGACACATCCCATGCTCTTGCAAACATCCCACCCACCCACCCGCAACTTGGTTTGCAAAACCTTTTAAGACCGACTGCGACGACACCGACGACAACGACTACGACGACACCGACGACGTCTCCGACGATTTCGACGACGACGATGACGACGACAACGACGACGACACCCACGACGACGACGACGCCGACGCCGCCGACGAAGACGACGATGACGACGCCGACGACGACGACAACGACGACACCGACGACGACGACGACGTCAACGACGCCGACGACGACGAAGACGACGACCACGCCGACGCCGACGACGACGAAGAAGACGACGACGACGTCGCCAACGAAGACGACGACGAGGATTTTTTTGGATTGCGCTGCTGATGAAGCGTATGGCCTGTCAGCTAATGGCGGCGCTGCTGCTAGCAGAGGCAGTCAGCACAGTCAACTCGTGTGGCTGTGCTAAGAGGCGAAACTCGCAAACTCTGCACGGGCACCTGAAGTCAAGTCAGAGAGTAACTTCCTCCAACCACCTGCCTAACCCCACGAATCTCACCCAGTCCCATAGTATTAACTACGCGTGCAACTGGGTGCGAGGCAGCCATGTGGACGCAGAGCGTCTGGGACTAGGCTGCAAAGGATTGAAATGTTTAGCCATGGCCAGGAATTGGCGGCGGACAGGGTGGGCAATCCTGCACGACTGCTCTCGGCGTATCCCTGGCTGCGCCAGAAAATCACGCTTCACAGAGATGTACTCGCTGACTTAACCCCTCCAACTCCCACTCCCATCCAGATCTGCAAGAGGGTGTGTGGTTAGTGACGGACTACGCTCACCGAGCCCATTGCCGCTGCCCCCCACGGGCCAAGGCTTGAAGCTTGGCAGTCGGGCGATGACGGAAACGCGAGGGGGCGCGCCTCTGTCCAGGTTGACGGTGGAGAGAGAGCAGGCGAGCGGGTGGCAAGCAGGCGGCGGCGGAAAGAAGCAAGAGAGGCAGGCACATGCCTCTCTGATCTCAGCACGTCCGCCCAACCTGACATGCCCAACCCCCTCCCGAATACATGTTGCGATCACTTCGACCGCTGTCAGCTCTCAAAACAGCTGCTCTCAACGACTTTGCCTCGGCGAGCGCCGTTGTGGGGTGGGGGCTTCGCGAGTTCCTTTCGGCGCGCCCACTATGGCCCGCCCCCTTCACGGTTCGACCCTCGGTTCGGCCGACCAGGCTGACACTCGAGCTGGCGACAGTTGCGCGCGTCAACTGCTTTCAGTGAAACCTGTTACGCACCGTCTGAAATTTAGTCTCAGAGAGAGAGCGGGCAAGAGGGCGGGACAGCACATGCAGGCAGGCCGTGCACAAGAGAGAGCAAGAGAGGCGGGCTGCCGCTCTCTCTGACTGTTGCTGCGCTGCCTCGCTGCTAATACCTCCAACTGCCCGGCCTACCAATCCTAGCCCTCTCCCGACTACGCGTTGCGGTCTTCACGACCGCTGTGGCTCTCAAAGCCGCTGACCTCAAAGGCTTTACCTCGGCGAGAGCCGCTGTGGGGCGGGGGCTTCGCGAGTTCCTTTCGGAGCGCCCACTATGGACCCCTCCCCTCACGGATCGACCCTCGGTTCGGCCGACAAGGCTGACGCTCGAGATGGCAACCGTTGCGCAATACGACTGCTGTCATTGTCTGAAAAATTTGGTTTCAGAGGGAGAGAGGGCAAGAGGGCGGGCCGGCACTGCAGGCAGGCCGAAGCGATGAAAGAGCAAAAGAGGCGGGCTGCCGCTCTCTCCGCTTGCTGTTACCCTGCCCCGCTGCTAACACCTCGACCAATCCCCCAACGTTCCCTCCATACTACAAAAATCACCTAAAACTGCGGCCATCGGATACTCATGGAAACTGAAGGTGGCCGACAGACACACGTCCATGGTCCAAGAGAGGCTGTCTGCAGCAAACCTGATCCACGTGAAAGTCAGGCCTGCTGTGGCGCAACTCTGGAGGTCAGACGGCTATGGAATGCAAGCTCATTCAGAGGACGTGATTCCAGCTCAGCCCGTACTGGCGGATGAGCTGGGGGTTATCTGTATACCACCACGGGGCTGGCCAAACGAGGAGGGCACAACATTAACCATAGCACCAGCCACAAGGCAGGGTCTTAGCAAAGCTCGAAACACTGGATACATGGCAGAGAGATCAGAGCACGTCCACACAAGTACCCCACTGTCAGCCGCTCGCCTGTCACACCCCAAGACGGTGGCCCATCCAAGTGCCGTGTGCTTGGTGCGGGTGACTGTGAGCTGCTAGGGAGGTGAGATAAAAGAGGTAACGCAAGGCTCGAAAGACGAAATAGTTGTGAGAGCAAGGCCAGGACTGACAAAGTGCCTGACTGAGATGCGATCCCTTGCCCATCCACCACCATGCCTGATGCCCGCCACCCAACATCCTATTTACTCGTGCGCATTATCTCACAGCCCTATCCCAAAACTGGGTTGGAAAGTCCATGGGGCTATTCGCTGGGCGAGTCGAATCCGACGTCGCTCTCTAGCTTTGCGCACGCTTGGCAGCAATTAGGACACGCAATTCTGGCGTGAGCTCAACGGGCTGTGGGGGCGGCGGGGGACACGGAGATTGGGAAACAGGTAAAGAAAGACGGGAGTGAGAGAGCGAGATAGCCGGGGCTGACACAGTAGCCTGACTAGATCAGTGCAATCTGGAAATTTTGCAGCGCGGCTGCTGCTGGGCCGCGGACGCCATCCGAGGTGAGTGTCAGTCGGCCTGACTGGCGTAGCGCCAGTCGCAGGCGGACTCTGAGACGGCTCAGTGGCAGCCCTCTCGCTCCCCGTGGC